TGATGAGTTGCCAGTTTTGCCAACATACTCATCTCTTCATCATAGTTTTGGCTGTACCGGAAGCCCACGCGCTTCACCTTGGCAGTGTACTGATCTTCGGCGGTCTGTTGCAAGAACAGGAGGTGATCAATGCACTCGTCCATGGCCATGTGACGATGTAGCAAGTCCTTGGCAGCACCCCAACTAGCTTCCAGACGGTTATTCGTGTTGTTGGCAAGATGCGGAATGTTTCCATGCTTGAAAGTACACCATTGATCCTTACAATTGAGCCAATTCTCCGTGAAATAGTCCATAAATAATGGTTTTCCCGCACACAGCTTCGTCAAAGCAGAAAGGTACTCATCAAACAGGCTCTCGTTCTAAGCGCGGACCATCATCGTCAGGATATTTTTGATGTGCATTTTCTCGAATGCCGAAAACCCGTAATCTTTTTTGCTCACTTCTCGCTTCAGATAATCTATGACGTGAAAGTGACAGAGAATAATTGTGGCACAAGGAAACTCTTCGCACAGTAAACCCAGTTCGATGAAGTCTTTGTCAATTACGATGACTTTCACATCCACCCACGCTGGATTGTTCTGCTTGAACGCTCGTACCGCGTACAACATATTCAATTTACTTCCACCGTCGACCAACGCGTGCTGCGCAAACGATCCACATCCGAACTTGTCTGTTACCATGAAGCTAAAGAGGCGATATCTACACCAAAACGAATGAATATCATTATTTGGTGAACAGTTCACAATTATGAGAGTGTTTTGTGACTTCAAAACTGATACCAAAGAATTGGTAATCCTTGTACCAACATGAGCAACAGCTTACCGATTGATGTTAGTGCCATAAGTAGCATCTATGCAGACTGCTTGTGGGAACTTGCGCGTCATCCTTCTCATGTGAGTCGTTTGAAATATAATACAGGAAGTAAGACCCGTTGTCTTATTGCGGAAAACGTTCACAGCATTGCCTGGACCTTCACTAAGATCTCTCAGGACCTCTACCACTCGCTCGTTGTTGTATTCTGACGTGTAAGTCTCCATACGCAATTTAGCGACGAGGTTCTCCACATCCTTGGGCAGGACTGGTTTTTCCGACACCTCTTTTAGGTAACGTAGGATCTTCTTCTTGGATCCCCTATAAATTATGCATGAACTGGTTAAACGCGTTACTTTTAAAATTGTACTCTGTTCCTTACCTTGAATCAGTGTTTTGACCTCTCGTCCCAGGGGAGGTAATTTTACGGGACTCAGCATATGAGTAGTAGACATCCCGCCCGACATCGTGGTCGTGAGTTGCCACATGAGAGGTGACCCGGACCTTGTACGTATCGTCAGCAACCTTAATAAGTACCGCATTCAGTTTTGCCGGGCACCCAATGGAGCGAATCTTGTGGTTGGTTCTCGATCCCTTTCCTCTGGACTTGAAGGTCTACCCGTGCGTACAGATAAGTGTGGTGGAGTGGGGTTCGCAAAATCACGTTGCGATCCACTTGGACACACAGTGCCCTGGACTGCCGACTAACG